TACATAAATTTAATGTGATACAGTAATTAAATATAATAATTTAGGGGCAAATTCAATTCATTCCTCTCATAAGAGATAATCAATCCTTTCCTCTTGAAAGTATAAATTTTTTACCAATTGTCTTTATTATGTTTAAAGGGGCATGACTAAAATACGCGCCCCCGAAAACTACGCGCCCTCTATCAAAGAAACTTAATTTAAATTATATTATTACAGAATCGTATTAAGCTTCATAAGATGAGTTAGAAAATGTTTTTTTTATTTAAAAAAAATGGCAACATAGTAAAATTTTTTAAAAATATTTTTTTACATGACTAAATTATGCGCTCCCTATCAAAGAAGCTTAATATATTAAAAAAATGATCGCAGAATAATATATAACTTATTAAAAGGAATCAAAAAATGTTTATACTAAGTTTATAAATTATTTATAACTTATTGAGATTTTTAAAAATAAAAAAAACATTTTCTAACTCATCTTATGAAGCTATATACGATTCTGTATTAATATAATTTAAATTAAGCTTCTTTGATAGGGGGCGTGTATTTTAGTCATGGCCTGTCGTTTCCCTAACTTTCATATAAAAACCTTTCATATAGTGTTGTTAAACGGCTCGTTTAGAGCCGATTTTTAAAAACGGCTAACTCATTATTCCATCTAGAAAATTATTATGCAAACATGAAGATTTTGCTCATAGAAGCAACAAAGGTCTAGACATATATAAATCTCGAGGCTTAGGCATAATTTTTCTGGCTAATATATAGAGTTAGCCGTTTTAAAAAATCGGCTCAAAACGATCCGTTTAACAACACTACTTTCATATAAAAATTTGCGACTGAGAATAATTGCGACTTTTTTATGATTGGTTGTGATAATTGCGACTTTATACGCATTGGTTATAAAAAATTAAACGTATTTATAATATATTTTTGAAAAATCTTGATTTTTGGAAAGCCTCTATGGCCTAATAGGCAAGAGCTTGGCTTACTTATCCCATGGTCCAGGGTTCGAATCCCGGAAATGGTCATGTTTTTTTTCTTATTCTAACTTGGTGGTTCCATCCTTGGGGGGATAATATATAGGAGGCCGGACTCGACCACGTAATTCCGTATTAATATATTAAATAATAAGAGTTTTATTACATTTTAATAAATTTTGGTCGGTATTTAGCAAATTAGGTTGGTATTTAGAATATTTCCATACATTCACTCATTAACCATATAAAGTGAACGATTGTTACTTGCAACTATTGTTGCATTTAAAAAATTATAAAAAAAGAACACATGTTGTTTTTTTTTACCATTAACAATATTTATTTATTTCAAAATAATTTTTTTTTATTTATAAATAAATATATTTTTTTTCATAAATAAAAATTATTTTATTAAAAATGGAAATTGTGAAATAGATACTATTGCAGGTAAAAAATATATTTTTTTAAGCCAAATATTTATTTATGATATTAGTCCCTCCTATAATCGAATCAACTCCTACTGGAAATTATGAGATAGATACAACTCTTGCAGGTAAAAAATATTATTTATTATTATTACATACCTTTTGTAGTAAATGTTAGATATTCGTCATTCTTCATTTTAAAAGAATGGCTAAATAAATACGAAATTTCTAATGCGACAAATTATTCAATACACCGTTCTAAAAAATTGAAGGACCCAATACTTAAGTCTACAATAATGTACGAACGACTTTATTACCAATGTTATGAGGGCAAGGTCAGACCATCCAAATTAAAAGGTTTTATCATCTTCTAATTCCTTTGAATTTGTTAAAAATTTAAAAATGCCTGAAAAAATAAATAGAAAAAAATGCAGTACACTATTTTTAACAAAAAAAAAGCTGATAATGAAATCGATCTTTCTATAATGCAGGATATCACGAATCAAGAAAATCTTATCCAAAGAGAATCTAGAACTACCCAAAGAAAATCTACAATTATCCAAAGAGAATATAGAACTACCCATACAGGATCAATTACAATTACCTAAAACCTTGTCATTTCACAAATTGCATTCAAAATTATTATAATTGTATCTATTTTTATTATAATAATATATTTAAATAGTGTAATCATATTTAAAATACAAATGTTATGAAAAAGAAATAAATATTTGCTTAAAAAGAGTCTCAATTTATCCAGTTTATTGTAATGCTTAAAAAAGACTTAAGATATAATCTATTTATCTAAGTTTTGAGTTGTTTTTTTGGTCATTTTCGTGGAATTCTTCTGCTATTATCTATTTTTAGTGTAGACTAAATATATATTGTGAAAATTAGATTAAACATGAAAAATTTAATTAATTAGGAAAAAAACATATTTATAATTTATAGCTTAATAAAAATATTCTTATGAAGAGTCTCAATTTATCCAGTTTATTGTAATGCCTATAGTATAAAAAGAATTAAGATATAATCTATTTTGTTTTTTTGGTCATTTTCATGGAATTATTCTGCTGTTATCTATTTTTAGTGTAGACTAAATATATATATATTGTGAAAATTAGATTAAACATGAAAAATTTAATTAATTAGAAAAAAAATATATTTATAATTTATAGTTTAATAAAAATATTCTTATGAAGAGTCTCAATTTATCCAGTTTATTGTAATGCCTATAGTATAAAAAGAATTAAGATATAATCTATTTTGTTTTTTTGGTCATTTTCATGGAATTATTCTGCTGTTATCTATTTTTAGTGTAGACTAAATATATATATATTGTGAAAATTAGATTAAACATGAAAAATTTAATTAATTAGAAAAAAAATATATTTATAATTTATAGTTTAATAAAAATATTCTTATGAAGAGTCTCAATTTATCCAGTTTATTGTAATGCCTATAGTATAAAAAGAATTAAGATATAATCTATTTATCTAAGTTTTGAGTTGTTTATTTGGTCATTTTCATGGAATTCTTCTGCTATTATCTATTTTTAGTGTAGACTAAATATATATTGTGAAAATTAGATTAAACATGAAAATTTTAATTAATTAGGAAAGAAACATATTTATAGCTTAATAAAAATATTTGCTTATGAAGAGTCTCAATTTATCCAGTTTATTGTAATGCCTATAGTATAAAAAGAATTAAGATAAGTTTTGAGTTGTTTTTTTGTCATTTTCATGGAATTCTTCTGCTGTTATCTATTATTCGAAATAAAAAAAAATTATTTTAAAAAATGAAAATTTTACTTTTTTTATAATTTAATACCATAAATAAATATTTGGCTTAAAAAAATATATTTTTTACCTGCAATAGTATCTATTTCACAATTTCCATTTTTAATAAAATAATTTTTATTTATGAAAAAAAATATATTTATTTATAAATAAAAAAAAAATTATTTTGAAATAAATAAATATTGTTAATGGTAAAAAAAAACAACATGCGTTCTTTAAAAAATAAAAATTTTACTTTTTTTATAATTATTTAAATGCAACAATAGTTGCAAGTAACAATAGCCTTTATTTAACAGCAATAAATGGTGTCATATAAAGTTATATTATTTTTTTATTCAACACGCTTGTTTTTTTTTCTTTAACTAACAAATATTAAAAAAAAGTTGTTTATTATTTTTTTTAATAAATTTTTTTTACGTATTTTAATAAATTTTTTTACGTATTTTTTTTGTCTAATGGAACAAAAAATAGTAATTTTAAAATTGATACTTATTTAATATATTTTTATTTAATAGAAATTAAGATATAATTTAGAACTAAAAGATTTTTCTACTTTAAAACAGTTTGTGAGTAATTATGAGAAGAATACCTTATCAAATTATTATATTTTTTTCTACTTTAAAACAGTTTGTGAGTAATTATGAGAAGAATACCTTTTCAAATTATTATATTTAAAAATTTATATTCCAATTGTTAAAATTTTTTATAGATGTTAAGGAATTTAACAATATTCCCAAACAATAGGGTCAATTAATGGGATTAATTGAATGTCTTATTTAATCATGAATTAGGTTTTTATTATAATCTTTTGATACTATTAAAAATGTAATATTTCATTATATAAATTAACCTTCATGCAATTTTGTCATATAATGTTAATAAAGTAAAACAACTTATATATCCTGGTACACCAGACTTGTTATGCTTTTCATATTTATATAGATGCATGGCCTAAGCTTAATGTTCTAAGATTTATAAATACAATTTTTTATTTTAATCGTAAGGTGAATGTAATATCAAAATTTACTAAATAATATTTATTCAGTTTGATATTTTATATATAAAAGTAAAATATTTTTGTTAGCTTATTAAGACATGGTGACAGAATTCTTAATCAAATCCCAAATATGCTATTATTTTTTTACATAACATAAAAATAAATTGGCTGAAAGATACTAAAATAAATTGCAAGGGACTTGTGAAAAACATGAACATCAATGTCTACAGCTTATTCTTATGTCATTGAAAATTTAGGAAAGGCTTCAAATTTTGATCTCTTCAATAAATTGTTTCAAATAATTCTTAATATTATAACTTTGCTAATTATGTTACTCCTAATATTTCTATTTATAGGATTTTCACAATCTGTTTTATACTTTGTTTAAATCATTCAAACCTAAAAATTTACTTTATTTTAATATTTATTATATTGTGTAATTCTTATAATATTTTTAATGGTGATCAGGCATTGCAAAAAACTATTCTATGAATCCTCCTATGAATATATCTTAAACAATATAATTTAACATAAAGAATTATTTTTATTGTTTTTTTTGTCGAAAATATTGAATGTTTGTTATTTATAACACAAGAATTTATTTTATATTTTTTATTCAATATTTTAGAAATATATTGAAAATATATATATAGAAATAAAATTTGTAAGAATACAATAATATATTATAATTCTATATATATATATATATAATTAAAATGATGTATTATAAAATACAATAATATATTATAATTGTAAATATATATACAGAAATAAAATTTGATATATTAGAATACAATATAAATTATAAATTGCTTTTTATTAGGTTTTTGAAATCTTGATTGTATTGTTTTCTGGAAGCTCTATTAGATTGTATTTGGTTCCTATGTATTTTTAAATTTAATATAAACATTCTAAATATATAATTATTTGTTTTATTTATGGTTTCCTTAAAAAAATTTGAAAGATTTTGAAGAGAATATCCAGTGTAGTCTAAAGTTTTGGTTGCTATAATTTTTGTTATATAAAATAAAGGAAAAATGTTTACTATTTGGTAGCTTAATTTGAGTGCCTAATATATTTTTTAAAATATTTTGAGATGAAGAGAATTCGAATGCTATTTTTATTTTATATTTAATAAAAATTAAAACACAAAATATACTAGCTGAAATAGTTTTTGATTGAGGGCCTAATAAATTTTGAATATGATATTGGGAATATAAGTTTGTTGTTATTTTTTTGTTGAGTAAAATGTTTACTCTCTGGTATCTTAACTTGAGTGCCTAACATATTTTTTGAAATAATTTGAGATGAAGATAATTTGACTGCTAATGTATTTTAATAAACAATAAACATTTAATTTTTAGTGATACCATATAGTTGAGTGTTTTCTGTATTGGAATGTGGTAGGTTAATTGTTTCCATATTTTGATTAGCTTGGGAAAAATCTTTTTTTAAAATACATGTATATTATAATATCATTTTCAAAAATTGCTAACTGTGAAATATTTTTAAATAATACTCTTTTTTTGCATTTTTTAGGCCTTTTGTGTATTGATCCTCGTTTGTATTTTATGGGCATTTTAATATTTTTCATTATATTCTAATCCCATTCTTGTAAAACTAATGAATTTTTATCTGAAATTAATCCTTTTTGAGAAGAATAATGAGCTGATGATTATTTTTCTCATAATTACTCACAACCTGTTTTAAAGTAGAAAAATCTTTTAGTTCTAAATTATATCTTAATTCCTATTAAATAAAAATATATTAAATAAGCATCAATTGAAAATAATTTTTAAAATAGGATAATTTTAAGACTGGGATGTCGAAGTTTTTTCAAATCGGGCAATTTGATAGTCGTAAACATTACTAGAGAAGAGCAAATAATAATATATATGGGAATGATATGATCTTTACAAATGGATGTGTCTGGAAAATAGTATTACGTGATACGTGATATATAGCGCATTCGCCCTCTAACGTTGAATATACAACAGAGCAACGCTAGGTTTTCCTCATTTCCATCTAATTGGAATTTATTAATTTAAGGGGGGAAAAAAATATGAGGAGCCCTCCACACGTTTGTGGGCAAGCCGCACGTACTTGTACGCACAACAATTCTGAAGAAATGTTATTAAAACGTCTATAGGCTTAGAGGAAAAGAGAGGGACCAAAAAATAGCCTACACCCAAGAACTGCTTTTAAAGTTAATTACTTTAAAGGTGGGAGGTGGAAAATTTAACTTGAAAAGCTTTATTGTAAGTTTATTTATTTTAGAGGTAAAAAAGAAATATACTTTCAAGAGGAATAAATCCACAAGAGAAATCGAGGAAGAAAAGTAAGAAAAAGGTATTTGAACTAGAGATCTCTAGGAACAAATTTAATTTTCATCTAAAATATCTATCTTTGATGCTAAAGAGTTTTCTGATAGACCTTTTGCAATTATTAAGCTTTATAAATTGTTTCATGTTTACATTCAGCTCCATCACGTCTTTTATAGCTTTGTAATACCATAACGATTTATATTTAGTATACTGTTTCCCTTTATGTGTATATAACCAAACGATAGCATCATGTACAAGGTTGTGATCTGAATTTCTTATTATATGGGCTAGGAACTGTATCCGACGTTTTTTTAACGTAATATTTATCGGAGTGTGGCTAGATTTCCTCCATAGTATTACTTAATGTATAGATAGAATTTTCGATTTGCCTAACTTTGATCGTAAAGTCATTTGATCGTAAATTTTGTCCATTTTTCTCTGATTGGTCTATTTAATCGCGGTAAATTAAAATCATTTTTAAACATTATGCTTAATACTGTAGCTGATAATTTAAGACTATTTTTTAAAAGAAGAAATGAATCATTACAAAGTATGATATATTTAATTTGATTTTTAAAAAAATATTTTTTTAGAGTGACACAAAATCATCTAACAGCTGAAGGTATATTTAATACTAAACTTATCTAGATTACATACATTAATTTAGATAAAGATTCTCAGTGTAATATAGATCAGAATATTAACCAACCCAGTAGCTCATCTAGTAATCAATAAGTAACAAATAAAATAATTATTTTTGAATAAACAAGCTAATACAATTCAACAAATACAACCACAACATATACAGCCCCAAATATTACAACCAATTACTAGAGATAACTTTTACCCTCCAATTTCAAGTAACAAAAATAATTGTATAAATTAATAAACATTTTTTTAGATATATTAACAAATGTGGCCCAAATACAAAGTTTTGCATTTAACCACACTAATAATCAAACTACTTTTACAAGTAGATTACAAATATTTTTTTAAAATTATATTTTAATATAATTAGACCTGGAAGACATTAACAATGCAGGAATTTTATTAGACTTACATAATTCCAACAATGAAAATTTAAGTAAATAAATTATATTATTACATTTTACATAATCTGATTATAAGTAATTTATATTTTGACACTGTAATTTTTAGATATACAATATATTCCTACTTCAAAAGGGAATTTGTGCTTGTATCATGATGGATAATATATAACAAAAGAAAAGAATATTCAAAATCTAATTACTCAATATAATTTAAAAATTATAAATAAATATTTATTTGGATAAAGCATCTTGTTATATAAAACTTATGTATAATTATAATATAGATGTATAATAAAATATAATATTCTGATCAAATTATCAATTAATTTTATTTATAAGTTATAATTATCTAATAAATAATAAATTGTAATCATATTTATCAGTTGCTTCTATTTCCATTATTTAAAGGAGTTCAAAATCAGTAGCTCTTCTTTCTTCATTATCTAATAAATAATAAATTTTAATAATATTTATCAGTTGCTTCTATTTCCATTATTTAAGGAGTTCAAAATCAGTAGCTCTTCTTTCTTCATTATCTAATAAATAATAAATTTTAATCATTTTTATCAGTTTATTAATAGGTATACATTGTAATCATATTTATAGTTGCTTCTATTTCCATCAATTAAAGGCATTCAAAATCAGTAGCTCTTCATTATCTAATAAATAATACATTGATATATGTTTATTAATAGGTATACATTATTACACTAATCTGATATAAAGAATTAGAAAAATATTTCCATTATTTAAAGGAGTTCAAAATCAGTAGCTCTTCTTTCTTCATTATCTAATAAATAATAAATTTTAATCATTTTTATCAGTTTATTAATAGGTATACGTTGTTTGTAATCATATTTATAGTTGCTTCTATTTCCATCAATTAAAGGCATTCAAAATCAGTAGCTCTTCATTATCTAATAAATAATACATTGATATATGTTTATTAATAGGTATACATAACTACATTAATCTGATATTAAGAATTAGAAAAATTACGTGCATATAAATTCATATGAATTAAAAAATCGTCCATTTTGACCTGAAATGGACAAAGGTACCATTTTACGATCAAAATAATACGATCAAAGGAGGCCCTCCCGAATTTTCTGTTTTTTAGGATTGATGGATTGATATTAAATACCAAATGATTATGAAAGGGGATATTAACAGGAGACAATGTAATGTTCAGTCCAACTCTTTTGAATATGATGGAACAAGAGTCAGGTTATCAAACTTTTTTTCTTGATGTCTCAGATTAGTATTTACTTATTTCTTATAATTACTTATTTCTTCAATATACTTTATTCATTTTTCATATTTATGTTTATTTACTTATTTCTTATATATACTTTATTTATTTTCATATTTATGCTTATTTACTTATTTCTTGTATATACTTTATTTATTTTCAGATTTATGCTTTATTTTCATGTATATTTTTTCCTGTATATACCTCTTACATATATATACCTATGCTTTATCCATTTATATATATTATTTTTATCTCTCATGTATATATTTCTTATATTTATGATGGGAAGGAATTAAATTCACTTAAGATTAATACAATAATTAGCTTTTGTGTCAGTAGATTAAACTTTATACTAGAAATTACATTATTTACATAGCATTGAGACAAGTTTTGTCTACATTCCCCTTATACTTAAACAATTTAAAACTTTAACCTTAACAATAATCATAGCAATAACATAAAACATGTTAGTAGTTTTAAACTCTACATCCCCTTATACTTAAACGATTTGAAACTTTAACCTTAACATATAATCATAGCAATAATATAAAACACGTTAGTAGATTTTAACTTTTATACTAGGAATTATATTATTTATAATTGTTTTGAGACAAGTTTTGTCTACATCCCCTAATACTTAAACACTTTGAAACCTTCAATCTTAACATATAATCATAGCAACAATATAAAACACAAATTTAGGATCAGTTTACCATGCACCTGACTAATTTCTAGTCTTTCCTTAGGCAATAAACCCAAACATAAATTTAATTCTCTGGTCAACCTTCATAAAATCTTGAATTTTTATAAATCTCCTTTTACTTAGGTTATTTTCTTATTGACTATTAAATATTTTTTATCCCCCTTATCCTTTAATACTTTTCTATAATTTATCGTCCATCTTTTAATAATTTGTTTCTTACCCCTTGGATAACTTATTATTCTTCCACCTCCATTTTGAAATTTTTCCCTCCCTTTTTATGACTTATTTTTTATTTTATTTATTTCTAGTTTCTCACATGGTTTTTGTTTTTCCCTTTCAAAATAAACTTTTTACATTTTACGCCCTCCATCTTTTAATAATTTTTGTTTTACCCCTTCTTGCATAACTTTTATTCTTTTCGTCACCATTTTGGATTTTTCCCTCCCTTTATTATTTATAGTTATTTATTTATTTTTCCCCTTTATTTTTTATTTTTGTCTCCTTCTAGTTTCCCATATGGGTTTAGCTTTTCCTTTAAAATAAATATGTAAATTTGTAAACAATTTTAAATAATACGAAATAGGATTTAATTGTTTTTTGGAAAATAAATTAGTATTGTTAAGATTTATAAACATGTATATCTCTCATGTTTCTAATTATTTTCATTGTGTTTATTATAAACAAATTAAAAAATCATTAAAAAAAACTTTAATAATTTTCTGCAAAAATTTTATTTCGCTAATTTTACTGTTATAATAATTTTTGCCTTATCTTGTTGCTTACCCAATTGAGTCGGATCCAAACTTACACATCGAAACAGGTTAATTTCTTTTTACTACTTTACTTCCCTTAATATAATTCCTTCGTATTTTCTTCCCCTGTTTTTGGCCCTATTAATTTTTTTTCTAGTTTATCTTAGAATCCATTATAATTGGTATCAAGTTATATTATGACGTTTCCCTATGACCTTTTATTAGTTCTTATGTGACGTTTCCAAAGGACTACACCCTTTATTGATGACTTTTTACAAGGTGACCCAATTTTTCTCTAAGCTTGAATGTATAGCTACACTATTTGCTCCTCGACAAATTTCTTTTATCCCCTACAAAATATTTACTTGTATTCTAGTGTATACATTAGAATAGAGGTTTCGTAATCACGTTAGAAGAGGCAGCCTGAATCTGGGTCAAAATTTTTTTTTTTTTACTTAGCTAGGTAATGGCATTTAATGTACTTCCGTTCGTATTTTTTTCTACCCCTGTCTGCCCCTCTCAAATTTTTCTTTAATGCCTGTCTTTTCTTCTGAATTTATTGATCTTCAATCTGTTATGATTTCTATATAGTTCATGTACTTTACTCTCTGCATTGGTGCCTTTATATGTGATCCAATTTCACAGCTATCCTATCAGCTCCTCAATTTTCTATCCCCTAAAAGACAAACTCTGCTCGGTCCAAACGTATACCTTTGAATAGAGGGCAATATAATATAATATTACTTTTGCCACATTACTATAAAAGGCCTCTATCTTCTCAAATCTGCATTTTGTAAAAGTTTTACTTTTATTTTTCCCTTCAAATTTTAAATCTTTTTCTACTAATATGTCTGTCAATTCGATCTTTTTCAAAGAGCAGTAATTGGATAATCTTGGGCGACTTGAACATTAGGATTGGGAAGTAGGAGTCCTACCTTTAAATATTATTTGACAGTATTTTGGGAAGTTTCTCTTATTATAAAACTTAAACTATTTATGAAATGTTATATACCTTCAAACTACAGTTATACAGGATTTCTCATTTATTACTTTAAATAGGTAGTTGTTTAGGTTGTTAATAATATATTTCAGTCTTTCTAATCTTAGTTTCTCCGTATTGTATAATAAAAAATAAACTTACAAATTAAATAATTTCTTTTTAATTCTTCTAAGGTATTTAATATGAACAAACTACAGTT